AAATAAAACAAAAATACCACCAAACATAAAATTTGTATGTCTTTATATTTGATAAATGTGCTACTTAATAATATGCAATTGAATACTTGCCATCTACTTATTCAAGTGTATCATTGGTTTTAAGCCCACCTTCAAACTTACTCCTAATGAAGGTCACAAAATTAAACAATTCTATATTCTTTAAAAAATGTACTAGGCCCCCCCAAATTTTTTAAAACATATCTATTTCTCTTCTCTAATAAAAGATTATCTGACCAATGAGAAACAACATCAGATATTATTGATTCTTGACAAATTCAAGTGGTTTCTTAATATCATTTGTTTTCCACGAAGCAATTAGAAATAGTTATTTTATCATTCTTCTAATAACTTATCCTGCTCTGAAGTTCAAATATTATTATCATAAAAAATAGAAACATGTTGTAAAATATGGCAATCTTTTGAGCTCTCAGTCATTTTGAACTATTATGAGTCCTCCTCCAGACCCCCTTGAGCTCTCACTAGTCCTTTACCTACTGCCCTAAGGAGATGGTGAGCACACATTCACCAGCTTGGTTGTGTTTGCTCTGCTACATTCTTGAATATTTTTTATTATTTCATGTGATTTAATATTTCTTAAATTAATGATATATTGCAATATAAACACATTTACTTTTTCCCATCTTTACTGAAATATTATTGACATATAAGATATGTAACTTTAAGGGGTGTATACTTATTCTCCTTACCAAGAATTAGGTGATAATATTGTACCTGAAAAGCTATTGCTTAATTTTGTATTAAATGATGAAATTAAAAGAAAGAACAGAAAATAATAGACACTGCTCAACCATGTTGCACTGTTTCTTTCCTCAGTTTAATACTTAGATCTTCAAATTGCATATCTGAGAAACTAATGTACTTTAGTACCTCAAGCTATGAGATTAGTGTACTCTTTTTAATTATAATAGATTCCTAAATATTTCTAAAGTCAAGTAAAACACTTTTTTTTCCCTTTTGAGCTTGGTTTAACTAAGGGTGTTGCTTCTCTTTATTCATGGTGTTTTTCCTGCTGTGAGAAGATAACCTGCTCTTAAACAAGCATGAATATTTTGTGTCTTTTCAGGCTTCAGAGTACTTAGGAGTTGCCTTCCAGACCAGTTTACAAATCACACTGGAAAATCAATCTCATTCTTTAATAGACAGTTGCATCTGTGACTGCAATTGACATTGTTAAGGTTGAGCATTCACCAGGCTTGAAAGAGTTCCACTTTAAAGAAAATATATTTACCACCACTGAATATATTGGAAACTTTTGCTATACAATTGCAAAATAGAAACTACATATTTTTAAAAAATGTCAACATCTTTTATTTTCATTTGATAGATGAATTAGGTGATTTTGATTAGATGAATTCATTTGATAGATGAATTAGGAATCTTTTGATTTTCATTTGATAGATGAGGTACATTGGTTGATACTATGGCCCATTATTTAATTAATTAACAAATTTGTAATATTATTCTTCACAGGTATCTTCAAAGATTTTATCTCAAGTTAAGGACAATGAATGTAGTATGCACTAAGATGAAAGACAAGTAATTTCTAGTCCACATATTATTATTGTTGTTGGAGTAATCTTTAAATTCTTAAAATTAAATCAAGTTAAATTTATAAGTATTTTAAATTGGTTTGTATATCAAATACCTTTTTTGTTCAAAATTGTGAGATTTTATCATATATTTAGCATATATTAAAATTCTATAATTACATAAGCAGCAATTTAATATTTAGGTTGTACAGTCATGTTGATTACATCATGAGCAATATACAAATCACAAAATAAATTCATAACTCGAATATAAATTTACTTTAGGTTGCTAATTTAGTTGTAGTACATTTGTAGGTTTTCAATAGTACTAAAACACTAGCAACAATGATTTCAAATGTTATATATTTATATGGGAAAACACTATATGGATACTAATTTACTTTATACATTTTTAACAGTGCTTAACTAACTACAATGCATTCTGCCAAGTCTTTTATTTTTATTATGTTATTTTACTCTTAAAACCACAATATCAAGTAGGTTTTATATTGTTGATATTGTACAGATAGGGAAACTGAGGTGCTGAAGTCTGAGTATGTACCTAGGTCAATGGGCTAGTCAAAGCTGACTGCAACTTAGGTACATTAGAACCTAAGCATTCTTTTCACCATGACCAATACCATTTTGTTTACAACGTGAGTCAAGTATTGCTGAGTTAGGAATATACTGTGACTTTTTTGTACTCCATTAAGAAACAAATGAAATGATTTTTGATAAAAATCAGTTGTGTGAATCTGTGCCATTTGACTATCATTTGAAATATACATTTAACTATTACCCCTACTTTTCAAGTGATGCTTGAGTGTCCTAATAATCTACTACCAATACTTTTAAGCATCTGGCAGGAGGTATTTGACAGTATTATAGAATTATACCTTTAAAATTACAAAATCCTTAAATGTGAGAAAAATAAAAAAACTACTTATGTTAGGGAGTTATATTACCTTCACTGATTTCAGCTCACATAATACATATATTGAATAGTATATTTAGAAAATATCAATACCAGGTTAAAAAAAAAGTTCACCATAGCTTAGTGTAAAGTTGTATTAGAGAATCATTATGGAGAAAATGAAGAATTGGTCATCTTTCTTATGATTTTAATAAATAACCGTTGAGTGATTCCAATGTACAAGCTATTGTTCTAAGCATTTTTCTTGGATTAGTTCAATTAATACAACTCTTTTACAAGAGAGTTACTGTAAACATTCTCATTTTACAAATGAGGAAGCCCACACATGATGGTTCAGTGACATTGTCAAGGTTGTAGATTTTAAAGTGGCTGAGATTTAATGATGGTCAACATGTTTCCAGGGCTGGCTCTCCCAACCACTAAAGTGTATTGACCTTTTAGAGACAAAATACCTCTAGGTCACTGCTATTTGCTTTTCCAGAAAGCAGTTTTTTTCTTTTTAAGATTAGTTTCCTTTCTTGATTTAAGTGGAATTAAAGTGAAGAACATAGTAACCTCCAGCTTTACTTTAGTATTTGTAGCTATAGCCTTAACATTTTAATTTTAGCATAATATTAAAATCATTTCTACTTTTTAAACATCCAAGAAATATCACACAGCACACACAAGTTCATTTTTTCTTGATTTTTTAAGAAAAAAATATTACAGTATTGCAAAATTATAGTAATGTTAAGATACTAAAATTACTTACTGTTTATCAGAAATATACTACTTCCCAAGAATAATCCATAAAAATGATCTCAGGTATAATTAGGCTTTTCATAAATATAATAGCTATAATGAAAAGATCATCTACCTTGTATAATGAAACTGGATTATTGTCTAACCCCATAAACAAAAGTAAACTAGAAATGGATCAAAGACCTGGATGTAAGTCATGAAACCATAAAACTTTTAGAAGACAACATAGGCAAAAATCTTCTGAATTTAAACATGAGCAACTTTTTCCTGAACACATCTCCTTAGGCAAGGGGAACAAAAGCAAAAATGAACAAATGAGACTACATTGAGCCAAAAACTTGTACAGAAAAGAACACCATCAGCAGAACAAAAAGGCATCCTACATTATGGGAGAATATGTTTGTAAACAACATATTCAACAAGGGGTTAACATCCAAAATATATAAAGAACTCACACACCTCAACACCCAAAAAGCAAATAACCTGATTAAAAAATGGGCAGAGGATATGAAAAGACAATTCTCCAAAGAAGAAATTCAAATGTCCAACAGGTACATGAAAAGATGCTCCATATCGCTATTTATCAGGGAAATGCAAATTAAAACCTCAATGAGGTATCACCTCACACCAGTTAGGATGGCCAGCACTGAATAGATTAGGAGCAACAAATCCTGATGAGGATGCACAGAAAGGGGAAGCCTCCTACACTACTGGTGGGAATGTAAACTAGCTCAACCATTGTGGAAAGCAGAATGGAGGTTCCTCGAAAAACTAAAAATAGAAATACCATTTGACCCGGGAATTCCACTCCTAGGAATTTACCCAAAGAATACAAGTTTTCAGATTCAAAAAGACATATGCACCCCTATGTTTATTACAGCACTACTTACAATAGCCAAGATATGGAAGCAACCTAAGTGTCCATCAGTAGATGAATGGATAAAGAAGATGTGGTACATATACACAAAGGAATACTATTCAGCCATAAGAAACAAATTATTTCATTTGCAACAACATGGATGAAGCTGGAGGATATTATCCTCAATGAAATAAGCCAGCGAGAGAAAGACAAGTACCAAATGATTTCCCTCATTTGTGGAGTATAACAATAAAGCAAAACTGAAGGAACAGAACAGCAGCAGACTCACAGACTCCAAGAAGGGACTAGTGGTTACCAAAAGGAAGGGGTGGGCAGGGGTAGGTGGGAAGGCAGGGAGAAGGGGATTGAGGGGTATTATGATTAGTACACATGGTGTGGTGGGGGGATTACAGGGAAGACAGTGTAACACAGACAAGACAAGTAGTGACTCTGTGGCATCTTACTACACTGATGGACAGTGACTGCAATGGGGTATAAGGGAGACTCAATAATATGGGTGAATGTAGTAGCCACACTGTTTTTCATGTGATACCTTCATAAGAGTGTGTATCAGTGACACTATAATAAAAAAAGAAAATCGTAAAAAAAAATCCTATACCTTCTAATTTTCAGAATCTTGATTTCTTGATTATTTTAAATTTGATTTAGAAGATGGACAGTTACTATTTTGAAATAATGTGTTAACTATTTAAGTCTGTCATCATTCTTTTGAGCTATTATCATCCAATTCATTTTCTATAATAGGAATTTTTAAAAAAGGGAGTCCCATTATCATATTTTAAATCATCCTGGATAAACAATGCTCAAGGAGTGCTTAGTGTTTCATATGTTAGTGTTGTTTTTACAATCAGAAAAGCCCTCACTACATGCTCACAGTATGTTTGCTGAAGTTCTGCTCCAAATCATCCTGGGTCCCGGTCTGTGGTACCACCTCTACTTGTAAATTTTCTGGTTCTTGTGACAAAGGGGAAAAGAGCGTTTTGACAAATCATGGATGCGTTCTTAATATAATAGAAAGTGTTACAGTTACAACTTTTATTTTCATTAAATCGATCAAAGGAAGTCATGGTCATCTAGGCTCCTTAGGGTGGGCAAGGATAGTCATTTACACTTGAGAGGTGCTGCAAGTCATGTGGGGAAATCTGCTATCAGTAAAGAAAGGATAATAAAAATGTAGAAAGTACTATACTCCTATAAAGGGGTGAGTGACAAACCTGTACCCAAGTGAACACAGATGTTGCTAAATATTTTTTACTAAATGGTAAAGTAAAACTGTTTTTAAGTCAAAGACATTTTCTTGGGCCGATCTTTAGAAAAAGTATCCATTATCCTTTAAATCTGAGGAAACTAGAAATAAACCAGAATAATTACTCAGAAAAAGCTCAAATAACCACTGGTGGCATGATTGTGTTTCTTGGATCTCTGCCTCCTGGAACTCCCAGCAGTGATCGGGCATCAGCTTGCACATGATCTGACCTATTTGACTCCTCGGCTAGACCCAGGATATTATTTCTTAGCCATCTACATCAACACTATTGATACTACCACACAGGTTAAAGCCATAAGAAAAAAAGCCCCAAAGGCTTCAGTATGTCTTCTGGTTGCAGAACCCGTGGTGGATGCACACCACAGAACGGCTACAAAAGTACTTCAAAAAGCTACCACACACTCCACACATACATAATTCTCACATTTTATATCTTCCCTGTTTATTTTTTACCTTAATTTAATTGTTTTGCTAAACAAGAATGGCATTATCCCATGATGCAAAATACTAATAAATATTAGGTAAGCTCTGTATGTACATTATAGGGAAAAATGTGACAGGTAGATGATAACTGAATAAGAGAAAAGCCAAAACAATTTTTAATAATGTGACATATTAATAGTCAAATGTCTTTAGTGACACGGTTGGTCAAATGATATTTAACCTATATTGCCCATAAGAATTTAGGATGTTTTTCTTTTAATAATCATGAAATTGTTATTTCTATTTTCTTTGATATTACTGCTGGATCATAGATTTTCCCTGGACATAAGCAGCTCTTCTCTGTCTTAATATAACAAAATCAAGAAAATCAATTTCTGTGTCAAAAATATATACTGTTTTGTTCCATTAAAACTGAATTGTTTAATATCACCTAGATCACAAAGAAAAGGCTAATTTTACATGAATATTGGTACCCTATAAAGTCTGAAATGTCCTGCATTGCAGAAAATTAAGACTGTGTTTACAAGTATCTTTCAGCATGTGAACTCAGACAGATCCAACAGTGCCAGAGGCATTTCATCACTCATTTCAAATACAGAGTTAAAAAGTATTCTATAACTTAGAAATAGGGGCAATATGGTTTTAGTGGATTTTAGTCAGAAAATTGTAAAGTTTGCTATTTATACAGATTAATAATAATGTGTTTCAGATTAGTACCATTAAATGAAGAGAGTAGTGTCTGAAGGGAACTGAAACTAAAATGCATTGATTGCATTAGTATGTACTGTTGTGAATTTTTAAAACATTGACCCACTTAATTATCAATGTTACTACTCAATGTGATAGAACAAGATGGAGAGAACATGCAAAGGATACATGTGCATGCTTACACGTGCACGTGCATGTGTGCTCAGTGAGGGCAGAGGGAGCGAGTGGAGGAAAATCATGGGTCTGGCCCAAAAACATTTGGAAGGCTGTGGGTGGACAAGTATAGCCATTTACACTTGACGGGTGCAGCATGTCACGAAGCAGTGATCACCAGGTGACAAAAAGGAAATGGTGTCTAGGTCTGAGATGGAACTAATCATGCATCAAATAAAGCAACTTTTCTCTCCATTAACCCACAGATCTTCAAAAGTTAACCAGAAAATGGGAAGCTGTGATGTGTATTAATATAAAAGGAGACAAAGAAGATTGTAAGCAAATAATGAAGAAATTCATATAAATTTGGATAAGAGAAAGGATATGATTTTGGAGGTTTGAGCTAAATTTGCCCATATCTCCAAGGGCAAGAATGACTCAAATAAAGAAATCTCATCTGTTGTAGAAACTTTTATTCCCATTAGTTACATGACGCAGTGGAAGCTTAGAAAACTTAATTCCTTGCTCATGGCGACTTAGCTAATAACTGAGAGGGCTAGGATTCGGACTTGATCATCCTGACTTATAGCTATTTTTCACAAGTACTATATAGAAATGTAGAAGCCAGCTTCTTATGGAATGTTTGTAACATAAATCTAGATGTGAGTTTTTCATATAGCCTCTGTTGTTATTATAGTGTTATATTAACTTACCTGTTATGGGTAGAAAATCTTCAGTAGTATCTGCTTAAGTACCTGCTCACACAAATGCAGGCTTACATAACCAAAAGCACTTTGAGAAGCAGTTTCAATATGTCTTTCCTAATGGCAAACTGCCAAAACCAAACCAAAGATAGGTGCTTATACATGCACACACACACACACACACATATATACATACATATGTATGCATCTAATATGTGTATATATTGTTTTCCTAATAGCTCTCCTGAAGGATTCTATCAGATTACTTGTATCTCATTTTGCCTAGCCCATCAATTTTCTAACCATAATATCAGCATAATACAATTCACTTTTAGGGAACTTTAAATGAAGACCAGAAAACTTAATGAAATAGATGAATAAGTCTTTAGTGACTTATAGGTTTTTTTTTTAAATGCACAAGAGGAAAATCTTTTAAAAAAATAAAGTCTTTAAAAAGGAAAGTCTTAAACTTTCCTAAAGGTTAATTACTTATTTGCTGCTTTTTCTTGGATATATGCCAACTTTTGCTGGCATTTTTACATTTTAAATGGTTTGGTATTATTGACATGGTCAGGGAAACAAAATTAGTTTTTCTTGGTTCGGTATTTATTCCTCTTTATTCTGGTCAGAAAAACAACTGTAAAACTGTTTTCAAATGTTCCTCTGTATTTGGACATGCTTTATTCAGGTTCTGATAGTAAACAAACATGGGGACATTTAGATTCTAGAGTTAGATGAGACTATCTAGGTTCTACCACTCACTTGCCATGTAACATTAGGTTACAGCTTTGAGACTCACTATCCTCACCAATAAAATGAAAAGTAATAATATAACTACAGGCATAAGATGAGGGTTGAATAAAACAGTCCACCTAATAAGATAGCAAATAACAAACTACCATAAGAAGACCTACTTATAAATATAGACCATAACCTGTATACATTGCTTTGTAGTAATAACTTTAAAGTAAAACACAAATTTATTCTGGAGCTCAGAATAAATGGTGATGGTGGAGCCAGCTGGAGGGGGAGGAGAAAGCCTTTTGCCAGAATCCCAGGACACGGGTGTTGGGAATGACTCAGGATGATCTGGACAGTTACATTCCACATTACCGAGAGGAAAAAGACGGCTAACATTCACTTCTCACTGGAGAAGAACCATCGCTCAAAAGAGTACCTTCAGTTCTCAGAAGGGACTTCTGGTATGGGACGACTTCCTGGGGACGATCTCAGCCCTCCGCGCAGGGGCTGTGTGCCCCGGGAGGCGCAGCACGGGCTCTCCGGGCGAGCGCCTCGGCCTGTGGAGCCCCTCCGTGGGCATCCGCGGCCGTGGCCACAAGCATTCACGCTTATCGAGAATGACCACAGGCCACTTCAGGGGCCCAGGAGGACAAGAGATCCTTGATTTAATGGTGAATGGTAGGGGTTTTTAATTCTCCATGGGGATTACCAATGCCATTTCAACAAAACACCAATTTTATAGACAAGCATGGACTTCTTGAGCTGGAATGTGAATAGAATGAGAAATACTAGGAGTAAATGCGTTAGGTTAAACTACTCGGTAAAGTAGTAGCTGACTTTCATGAGAATAGATGGGTCATGAAATTATTTTACAAAATACACAACAATTAATAAACTATATAAACTCTGATATATAAATACATGTGCTATGTAATCTATTTGTCTACTTTTAAAAATAGATGTATGTACACTTATAGATAAAATTTCAAATATATTACTGAAACTCTGAAGATTATTTAAAAAATATTTTTTTTAATGTCAAATCGTTTTACTAAATCTAAACCCGGTAATAATTAACATGTAAATAACAGTATAGCTAAACCAACCTTTACATTTCTTCTGAGGAATTCAGTTTTCCCTTCTAGTCTTCCTACCATTAAATTCTACAGCTTGGAAGTAAAGATTAGGAATGTTCTCAGAAATCTGACTCAAGGTGATTATATTAAAGGCAAGAGAGTCTTATTAAGCCCTAATTGCACTATTTGGGTCAAATTAATTATACTGTGGTAAATATAAAGATTAAGATTAGCAAAGCTTTATGCCCTGGGCTATGTAAACATAGAGCAACACTGCCATAAGGTATCTTTGAAGAGCTTTTAACTGGTATATCCAGAGCTACTCTGTATTCCCTTGAAATTTCACAATAGAAGCAAATTGTATATTCAGGCCAATAAGGAATACATGGAAACAAAACAAACCTCTCCTTTGAGCATAAACAGACTCATTTATTTCAATAGAATGTCAGTGTGCTTATTTGCAATCTGAGTACTAAACTACATTTTTTATAGAATTTATAGTTAGATCAGAAACTCACAGAAATCTGTTCCTAATTATTCATTACCTCAATGCCAAAAAATGTAGGAAATGCAGGAAAAAGATAGAAAAGTACAGTGTTTGGTTCCAGGACTATATGTGAGATTTACAAAAAAGGTAAAAACAGCTACATACTCTGAATATTGTTTAACACTTGCTTGTTTCTTGTTATACAGCATCTTGACCAATGTGTTATTAGAAACAGTAATCATGTTAATTAATCTGAAATTAATTTAATAACATTTAATTGTCTCACTTGGGTTGGTAAAATAGACACCCGAATTTAAATGTAATTGCAGTTCAATGGGTAATTTTTCCAACTTGTACATAAAGAAGTGTGTACA